ACGAAAGGCAATTCGTCTAAAGTTCATTTTTGTTTTCGTTCTTAAACAATATAATCGTGTTTGATAATTAATAGTTCTCTAACGAAAAACCTTGATTGGAAGGAAATTCCATCATTATGCCACATATGTTTGCGCGAAAATAAAATACTGTCGGCTAGATGAAAAGTTAATGAAATCCTTTGAATTGCCATCATAGAGGATCAAGGCAGAATGTCTCTTTGGGGGAGTAAAGAGAATGGGAGAGTCAGTTCAGGCTTAGCGTTGAAGCTCGTGTTGAGTTGGTTGACCGAGGTCACTGGTGTCGGTAACAACCTGCCTACTTGGTATTTATCCAAGCTTCCCCACAAAGCGGGATGTGACACAAGGCCAGGTTAATGTAGGTCTTTCAAAACCTATATACCTACTCTCTTGCAAGTGTCATGAACGGGTCCTTTTAAGCAGTCGGGGTGGATGCATAACGCATTGTTTTTGTTTGTTTTTGTTTTTTTGTAACGCTTCTACTTTAACAATAACGTTCATGATTGGTTCCTTTTAAATTGTATTTTATATTGGGGGGGCGGATTTGTTTGGTGTGGCAGATGTTATGCTTGGTGCCTCTGCATATATAGGGATTTTTTTTTTTTTTCTAATTTTGCTCTCCTAGCATTCACATCCAGCCAACAGGTTTTGATGTGAAACAAATCAAAAAATCTAATTTGAAGCAGAGTATAACATTAATTTATGTAATTCCACTTTTTAACTGATATAAAACAGCATAGCATGATGAAAAAAGGTCCCAAACTTAATAAAAACAAAGTTTTATCATAAAGACATTCGTTATTATTAAGAGAAAAGACCAAAGTATTTTTCTTTTCTATTTTATTAATTTTTTAAATCCTTTCTAGCAATAACGTTCATGATTGGTTCCTTTTAAATTGTATTTTATATTGGGGGGGGGCGGATTTGTTTGGTGTGGCAGATGTTATGCTTGGTGCCTCTGCATATATAGGGATTTTTTTTTTTTTTTCTAATTTTGCTCTCCTAGCATTCACATCCAGCCAACAGGTTTTGATGTGAAACAAATCAAAAAATCTAATTTGAAGCAGAGTATAACATTAATTTATGTAATTCCACTTTTTAACTGATATAAAACAGCATAGCATGATGAAAAAAGGTCCCAAACTTAATAAAAACAAAGTTTTATCATAAAGACATTCGTTATTATTAAGAGAAAAGACCAAAGTATTTTTCTTTTCTATTTTATTAATTTTTTAAATCCTTTCTAGCACGTACAAAATGTTGGTTTAAAATCTTTTCTTTTTCTTTTTTTTCTTTTTTTTTTTTCCCCGCATTAGTGTAGTGGTCAACATATTTACAATTAATGTTTTAGCGCCGTTTTTATGATGAAAAACACATTGATTTGTCTTGGAAAAAAAAAATCAAATAATTGTCAGATTTTAATGAAACCTTCAGGTCTTATTGAATAATTTTTTTTACATATGTTCCCCCACCCCACACACTTAATTTCAAGAAATTTTAATTACAAAATTTGTTTTATTAGTTAAGAGCAGAAACTCTTGGAGAATGTATATTAATTTTGTTTTGTTTTTTTTCTCCAAACTACTAGTCATTTCCCGAAAATCTGCTCTGAATCATAAAATGTAAAATGCAATAAAACTGACACTCACATCATTTTCTTACATTGTTTTACAGATAAAGTCTCCATAAGACAACAATCAATCTATCATTACCTCGCTAATTATGTAAAAGATGGCGATGCCGGTTAAAGACACTGCTACTGTTTGTTTTAACAAAACATTTCTTTATTTTAAACTTAAAGCAAATAATATTTGCTTTAAATCAGCTAATATTCCTCAAATAAAGTTTCAGGAAAGCATATTTTATTTTTGGAACTTTTAATACAGAATTACATTGCAATGAAAGATGATTAAAAAAAAAAAAAAAAAAAAATCAGTTCCAATCAATATAATTTCTCTTTCAAATACATCAGTGTATTTTGCTTACTGGAAATAGCAGATTTAATCCTTTAAGCTTTCAATTAAAGCTAAAATGAAAGCTTCAAGTAGGCTTTTTCATTTATAAAAATTCATTTTAAACATTAGGTCTCATGAATTAGTGGAGTTTATTTTCTTTATTAAGTGTCATTTTCTATCTTTTGGTCACAGTGTGCAATTGAATTTCTATGTAGCTCACACACTATACACAAACGTTGTTTCAATTGTCATGAAAAAGTCAGTAAGTTTTAGAAATTGATTGATGCTCTTTTCAAGTTAGATGAGGGATGGAATTGCTGTTGATTACCTCCCCACCATTGTAAGCCATAAAATTCCCCACTCTTTTTTTTTTTTTTTTCTGCTCTCTTCCTAGACGAGAGAAAATCTCATGGCATAGTTCTACAAGTCAAAATGTATATAACTTTGTGGATGAAAGCATTGGTTATGAATTTGGTGGCATAGTTCAGGCACTGCAGACTTTGATTTAGTAGAAATGGGGTGAGCAATAACTGCCCTACTAAAATAAGCACTAAATCAGATATACTTAGTTTTCGTTCCAATGAGCATGTCTATCTACCCTGTAGCTTAAATGAACACTACTAAATAAGAACTAGATGAACAATTCATTAAAAACAAGAACAGTTTACCCCCATAGATTAAATAACATGTTCTGGAGTAGATAGATTCGTCTATCATCAAGTTCACACTCCTCTCTGGTCTTTTGAAAAGGAGAGGGATTGGGTTTTCAGCTTTCTAAAGTCTTCTCATTTTTTTTTCACTCCCAATAAACCCTCAGAGGTTCTTTCATACCACTGTAGAGGTGGTGTTAATGTCTAGTGCCACTACTTAGACATTAACTAAAACCCTAGCATCTAAGCTTGATGGAACCTACACTCGAGTGCTGAGAGCTATACTTAACATTTCTTGGAGACAATATCCAACTATATCCACAGTTCTATGAACTCATCCATTATATTTCTACAATCTTATTTGAATGCACTTTGCAGGCCATTGCTCACAAACAAAACAAAAACTTGCAAGTGATCTACTACTCCGGGCACCTAGCCATGGTGCAAGACAGGTTGGTCGTCCAGCAAGTATGACCAAGTATTGACCAAGTATGTTATGATAAAGAATGCCATTCTAATGACCTTCTGACCTTGATGCAGGACCATGATGGTTGGCATGATAGACTCCTGTATGTCCGAGCTAGCTTGACTGTATAAAATAAAAACCCTTGCATCTTAGTGGCATTATTGCCTTGCTTGGATGTGAACACCACGAGAGCAAAAAAAAATAATGTTAAAAATTCCTAGAAGGTTACCCAGATTGAAATGCATTAAATAAAGGCTGGAAAACACAACCACCAAAATATTCTGATAACAAAGATGAAGACAATAGTCTGCATATAAATAACTCTTAATCCAGGAAACTTTTTTTTTTTTTTTTTTTTTTAATTCCTTTTTGGTCAAGCCAAGAACTTTTCAGCATTCCTTTATTTTGTTCCATGACAGTTGCAATATCATTTTGACTATCTATGAGCAAGAATATAATCTGATGCATGCATAGTTATGTCTGACCTGGTGCTTTAACTAGGATATGATTAAATGCACACTATTTGTATTTATTCCTTCTACTTTCTTCATTTTGTTGATATACTTTTGCACTGCTTGACTTGCCTGTCCTGGGTATGATGATAAACTACATCCAGCAGCAAGGCTTCTGATTGGGAGGTTTTGAGGAGCATGCAACCACTTCTTAACTGCTGTTATTCCCAGGTCCACCTTAACCTGGAGTGGTAGTATTTGTTAGGGTCCCAGCTATGGGGAAAACAGTTAACCCCCAAATTGGGGTCAAAACACTATGAAAGTATAAAAAAAATTATAGTAAAACTACCAGCAATACATTTTTGTAAAGGAAATTACTAATGCTCCCAAGAAAATTTAATTTCAGCATTAAATGACCCATAAGGAGTTGATATGTCACTAAACAAACAAACCATTTGACTTGTGATTGAATTCTCAATCTCTGAGAAACAAGACCAACACTTACCACACATGAACTGTGATTTTAACCTCTAGACCTTAAGTTTTCTCTTCTAAATAAGATTCCACATGGTGTTCATGTCCCTACAAGGTTTTACTGATTTAATCTTTCAAACAACAATTTCTTTTACAATGTTTGGAATGAAGGGTTGTTATTTACATGTAGCCTATCATCCTCATTTTTTGTTGTTTATCATCACAATGTCACAGTTATTTTAGTGGAACTGGGGCAAGAAATATTTGAACAGTACTCAATAAGAACAATGCAAGATATCCCTAGATATGGCCAGCAGAATTAAAACAATCTACCCTAATAAATCAAATAAAACTTTCAGTTTGAAAGTCTTTATAGAGTTGCCTAGGTCAGCAAGCGCTTGATGAAGTCTGGATGACACAATCGCTGAAATGTTGTAAAAACTAACAAAGATGAGAACAATTGTCTGCTTGTGAATAATGGAAATCACAAAAAAAAAAAAAAATATCCTCTCCCTACACACACTATTGTCACTTTAACTTTGTTCTATAGGTAGACAGTTCTGGTGAAAATTAAGCTAGGAAAAGCATTATTGTTCATTTGAAAATTAAGTTACAATTGATAAAAAAATGAAAAATGTTCTTAAAGGGGCACAGTGAAAGTTCTCTGGAAGTTGTCAAATTTAAAATTGTTGGCAATTAAGGTTAAATGTAGCAGTCGCAGAGAATGCGTTGGTTGAGGAAGTCCAGAATGTGTGGAAAATGATTGCTTGATTCTGAGCCATTATTCATTACAGCAATTGGTATTCCCAAACAGTCACACATCTAGGTACTGACCTAACTCAGTGTTGCTTAACTTCAGTGATTGTATGGTGAATAAGTTCTGATGGGAAGGCACATAGGAATATTAATGTATGATCATTCTGATTGAATTAATTTTTCTCTTCTTACAGGAATAATTTTCACCAGTGGTTGACTGACACTCACCATGCTTGCTATTACCATTGCACGCCTACCCATGGCATCTTTCTCAAAATGTCTTGCCAGAAGTTCGTGTCTCTTGATCCGACCAGCAAAACCTGTCTTCACTCCACAAATACAGATGTTCAGCAGTCAGGCCCGTAGTTCAACCAGGCGTGCTGCTAGAGCAGCTAAAGCTAGATCCTTCAAGGACATAGTCATGGCTCCAGCTGGAGACTCGGGTAAGAATGATGAAAAATTCTTTTTATTCTATGTATTCTTTGTTGCAATTTCTGTAGAATGGATTTTTATTTATTAATCTAACCTATTTCTATCACTAAACATTACTTTTAGTGGATGCCCATATTTTAGTAGATGCTCTGTTTATTTTTTGAAATAGTATTTTATTTTCATCTACCGGCCTGAATGAAAAATCTTATTAAAGAAAAATGTGACTTCCATCTTGATTTGAACTTGTGTCCCTCTTTGCTGAAGGAACTGTTAAGTTCAACATGCTTTTAACCAACTCTACCACAAATTGCATCATTGATTAAGCAAGGTTTTTATATTGTCTTTTAAGTACATCCTTCTCATTTTAGATTACCAAAAGTTTATAACTGCTCAGTTTCATATCCAAAACAAAATCAATGCAATTTCTAAAGAAGTGATGGATAATCTGACAAATTTTTATCACTTTAAAACATTATTTGTAGTGGATACTCATATTTGAGTAGCTGTTCCAATTATTATTTTTTTTTTCTGAATCCCCAAAATTTACTTATCAAAAACAAATATTTTACAGGTGCTTGAATTCCTTTTTCTCTCCCCCACCCACCACTGATGTTTACTTTTGTTATAGTACCTATTCTATTGTAATGGACTCTCCCACAGATAAGTAGTAGTAGCAGTGGCCAGTTGGGCTCGGTGGTGTTGAGCGAGTCAGACGATATCAGACATTGAAGTACCAACCATCACAACTAGATTGCTGCGTCATTAACTCTTATTTTCAAGTTCCTAACGTTTTGTATGTTGAACCTAATTTAGGATGACACTGAAATACAAGCCTCCACTGTGGAAACTACTCTACAACAACTTTGTCTATATTATAAGCTTAATAAATATAGGTACCTCCACGAAATCGCTAAAAAAAGAGCATAGCTTGATGAAAAGGACGCCAACCTTGCCGAAAACAAAATTTTATTGTCTAAATGCTTATGTTATTATTAAGAGGAAAGACCAAAGTTTTTTTTTAATTATTTTAAAAAAATTTTCCTTCTTTTTAGAACATTCTAAATTTTGATTTAAAAAAAAAACCTTTTTTCTATTTGTATCAGCGGAACTAGTAAATAACATAGACAATTTTTAACACGTTTTTTTGGTATGACACACATTAATTTGAAAAATTGTGCAAAAATAGAAATAATTATCGGATGTTAATGAAACTTTCAGGAACTATTCACAGATGATCGAAATTATTATAAATGTTTTTTTTATGAAAGTCATGGTAGAAATATTTTTTAAAAATATTTATTACCCCCCATAACTAATTTTATGAAAACGCTAGAAATTCGATCGCATCGGTTTTAGTGATTACAATAATTAAAAGCACGGGACTTTGAGGAATGCAAATCATTTTTTTTTTTTTTTTTTTTTTTTAATTGGATACACAGTACCAGAAAATCAGCTGTGAATTGTAACATACAAAACTCAATAAAACAAATATATTATTTAATTTCAAATGCTTTTATTTGCTTTTAGTTGTTTTTATGAATATGGACAATATTTTCTGAAAGCAAAAAAAATTTTTCGATGAAAAATGAATTTTTAATACAATTATTTGTTATTTCATTAATTATAATAGATTTTACATTTAAGTTGTTAAAATATTATAAAATTAGATAAAAACCGCATCGGCTTTCATAAGTGTCCTTATGAGATTTTTTTTTAGCGTTGTAAATTGTATCATTTTGACTAATCAGAAGACCCCAGTAATTAAGAAATGTAATTTTGTGCTTATAATCGAGCTGTAATTATAAAATACGGAAGACCAACCAGAATATAATTAAGTTGCGTTATTTGAGTTAAGCATTGTTCTCCGCTGTTAAGGCCTTTACTTTTGCGAAACACGTGTGGAGAAGTTAATTTGATTTTTCAATTTCAACTGAGAAGGGTACCTACAAGTATCAGTATCATCTTATGAAATTTATATGATCTTATTTTTATATTAATCTCAGTTACGACATTTTTCCATAAATGAAATATCAAAATTAATAATAAAATGAATGCAAATACAAATAACAGTAGAATGTAATAAATGTACATAAAATTATAGTATTTTATGTACAATTCTGATAAAATTTCATAAGAAAGGTACCTATAAATTAATTAGATACCTTTCTTAAGAAATATGAAATTTAATGTCACTCTGAACAGTTTTATTTTAATTTCTTTACAATATATTTCCCATAAAGCATCATAAACGTAAAGGTGAAAGCTAAGTACAAAAAAAAAAAAAAAATTTAGACTGCTGAAAGTTTTTCGTTAAAAAATAACGGGTAAATAATTTGTTCACGTAAATGTAAATTATTTCACTTTTCTCCTTCCCAGAGAACAAATTAGCCTCGTGGAATTCGTAAATATATCATTCATCACATGTCAAGAGACGCGAAAGTTTATGACCTGCTTTGTTTTATTTTCAAATTACATCTTTTTTTGGCACAAAAGCTAAGCTAAGTTAAGTTTGGTTCAAAATATTTTAAATAAACATTAAAAAAATGATAATTGATATTTAAAAAATTTCAAAGTCAGATTTCCAGTTTTTTTTTTAAAATGGAAAAAAATGGTCAATTTTACTGACTCAAAAAAACTAGATTTTTTAACGAAAATTTCGGACGTGCTAGGAACAATTAAAAAATGGAAAAAATACCCCAAAATACTTTGACCTTTCCTCTTAATAACAAACATTTAGACGATAAAATTTTGTTTTCGTCAAGTTTGGCATCTTTTTCATCATGCTATGCTCTTTTTTTAGCGATCTCGTGGAGGTACCTAAATAAATAGGAATATTTTAACAAAATCTATCATATCCTATTAGCCAGTAGCTTCTGAAGTTGGTATTACCTTCCTTGTTCTATCAATATTTGCCATAAGATGTATTCAAGTGATCTAGTAAGGTTTATTAAGGTAAAAATCAAGATGTAACTGTTTACTAAGTTTGCCTTATTTGACCACAATAAGAATTTGTAAAACTTAGAAAATGTTTTTAGTATATTGCAGCAGCTGGATCTTGCACTGAAATGATCAGCCACCAGCAGACCTGAACAGTCCCTTCCTAGATTTTCATTGGTAAATCCATAATAATAGGGCCAATTTGTTTTAAGGAGATTTTTAACAAAGCATACAAGAAGTAGATAGATCTATGTGCTATATTCCTTCAGGACATTGGCAATCATAGCATTGGCATCAATTTCAAGAAAAAGGTTTTTATTAAACTACTTGAAATGAATTGTTAACTAAATTATAATCATAATTTCTACAATGAAATTAATAAAAAAAAAAATATCATGAACTTGTTAAAGACTTGTTTTAATCATTTCACCCCAAGCAATTCAATAAAGCCACTGAGACACAAGAGGTTACTAAGTATGAGAGAATCTGAGAAAGAACATTATGAGCACACAATAAAAGAACAGGATTCAAGGAGACAAATGATGATGATTGACATTGCATTTAAATTTTTGAAGATCTAAACTCACAGGAAAGCCAGAAGCTGGAAGAGAGTTCCACAAACAAAAGTGTCAGAAGAAACCGTCAGCATAGAACTTGGTTACATCTAGAAATTTCAGCAGTAAACTGATGAGACCTAACTGCCAATCTAGTACTGTGCTTAAAATTTGTAAAGTTGAGGAAATCTCTTCAGAACCATTACCATGAAAATATATATAGAAAAGGCACAAGGAAGTTATGTTATGATGTTGGAAATTGTCTGAAGCTGAGATGCCAGTTCAGGGCCAATAACATCTTTCTTTGGATTTTGTCCAGAATCTTTAGATACACAGCACAAACACTACACCAGATGTGGCAGCAATAACCAATTCACAGACAAATGGTAGGTGTAAGATGGATTCTGTCAGAGAAAAATTGTGTAGAATGACACTGAACCAAATTTCCTTGCAGCAAGCCTATAAATCAATTTGATATAATTGTCCCACTTTATGTTGGTGGAAAAACATTAGACCGAGAAAGTGAAATGTTACTCATTAGCATGTTGATGGAAGGTAAAAAAAAAAAAAAAATGTTTCTATCAGAGAGCAGTTTTGTTTTGGAGGCATTAAAATTAACAAGCCATTACTTGCCCCAGTTAAATGACAGTGATGGTCAATTTTGGGAGCAGCTGAAAAATTATAGAATTGATCCCTGCTCTACTGAGTCTCCAGCTTCTGAAGCTGAACTGATTAAGGTATAATTGATGACAGTTGACTTCCAATAACGTCAGATGCAAGTTCACCTCAGAAGCTACTTTAATGGTAGAAGAGTATGTCACAAGAACGTGGTAATAAAAAGCTGAAAAAATTGCCCAGAACTTATATCCCCAAATAGTAACAAAGTTTTGACCTAATAGCTATTAATTTTCATTTCCTTCTTTTCAGCTTTTAATCTTGGTCGGGGTTTGGTAGCTGGTGCTTCAGTTGTTGGAATTGGTTCTCTCTGTTATTATGGTCTTGGACTGTCCAACCAAGTTGGTACCATCGATCGATCAGTGTATGTATCATGTTTCATTACAAAATTTAAAGTTGCAAATTGTATGTATGTATCTGGGAGTGTTGAAAAGTTCTTGGCCTGATCCACTTCCCAAAATCTTAACAAACATCAGAATTTTTTAGCCCCTTTCTTATCAAGCTGAGAACTTTTCAACACCACCTCATGTGTTTGTATCAAATTATGCATTTCGCCCTTGCTAGGTTTCATCAGATAAAAAAAAATATCAAAGAAATGTGTGTGTATTTGTGTATGCTAAAATAGTACATTGTTAATATTTTATTCCACTAAGCTGATGTTTCTTAGGATGAAAGAAAGAACAAAATTGTGTGACTTTTTTAAAAATACATGAAAAACACAAGGACATGCATAAAAAAAAAATATATGAATCTTTTACTTTCAACCTATTTTGAAAAATTCAATAAGGATTTACCTTAAATTCATTTCAAAAAAGGCTATGTGAACCTTTTTGCCTTTGAGCCATTCTGAAAATCAGATGAGGATTTAATTTAAATTCAATGCAGAAAAGCTGGAAGAATGTATTAAATTTTGACAAAAACAAAAAGGAAATTTAACTATAAAAATAAGGGCTTTTTACAGAAGTTGCACAATTTTTGCCTTTCATCCTAAGAAACACTAGCTGAGCAGAAAAATTATTAACAATTTATTTAAGTGTACACACAAATTCACACACATACATCTTTCTTTTGGTTTTTGATCTGTTGAGACCTAACAAGGGCAAAACACATAATCTAGTTTCAATGAAACTGTCATATTCTTTGAACTTTGTCTGGATTCTGTATCCTATTTTATACATATATATATTTTTTATCCCAATGCATTTTATCCCCTGAGGAATTTTATTGAGATAAATGTAAGGACTTTATGTTGCAACATGTAATTATAAGCAAAAGTGAAGAGAAAAATATCAAGTGTTCAAATTTTTTTTAAATTTAAGAACATTTTAAAATATATGTCTATATTTCTAAGATGAGGTATTGTAATTATGTACATTATTTACATTGTTTGGACTGTTGTCCTCATCTTCATTGCCATATTCATGGTATTTCAGCTGTTGTATTCTCCCCCAAAGAGTTGTGAGTTCAATACCTGGCTACAGCAGAGGTGAATAAGAGTTGCATTAAAGGGAGATAACTGATACTGAGACATTCAGAAGATGCATGGCACATGGAACTAGAACAACCTACCCCTGTGGATGAAATAAAGGGTTCAGTTTGAAATTCCAATCACCTGAAGAAGGCCAGAGCATACAACAGCCGAAACATCGGGAATAAGGCAACAAAGATGCGAACAACAGTCCAAATAGTGTAAATAATTACTCTAAAATATTCTTACAGCTGTGTAATTCAAGGTACACTATGGAGGAAGCTAAGTTATGTAATTTAATGCCTAACAAACAAAAGTGGGTAAATGTTGAATTTTTATTTTGTTATTTGTTAATATTTTTTTTTTTATTTTTAAATATAATTATTTATTCTATTTTAATTTGTTAAATTAATTATTTATTCATTTATTTTAAATAATAGGTCTTGAGTTAACTGTTTTAATTTAAAAACATTTTTGTGGTCATGTATGTTGGCTTGGGAAAAGAGTATTTCTTTTAGAAAAAGAGATATTTGAAAAAAATCCAGGACATCATTTAACATTTTGAATTTCACACGCATATCATCAGTAGTGGGTTTGACTGTTTTCAATTTTCAGGTAAACTTGTGTATATGTGTATATATATATATATATATATATATATATATATATATATATATATATATATACACACACACACATTATCTTTCATGCCACTACTATTGTGAAAACAGGAACTGTTCCTTCCAAGTCTTCATAAAAATTTAGGATGTGTCATTAGTAAATACTAAATACTTTGGTGTATAGATCAGTTATAACAAATTTTATATTGGAGAAAAGGAAATTGAATATAGAATAGGCTGTGCAAGTAGTAGTTTCATCCAACATCACAATTTGCTATAAAACCAAAACATTAACCTGAAAACTCGAGTCCTGCATAATAAGAAATGAAGACAGACTGCAATAGTGCTCCCATGGGTTTAACGTCTGCCTCAGTGAAATGGAAAATTGTCTATTTTGAATCTTTTCATTTGTACCCTTTTACCATAGATGACGACCTGCATTCATTTTTCTTTCTTTTTGTCTTATTTTGTTTTAAATGTGTTAAGCTCAAATATTTAATGATGCAAACAGGGGAAATTCCACGAGTATTTTAGGAACTTAAGAGCTGTGAGTCATCAGAATATTCAAATAGAACATTTGATATTTTCACAGGTACTGCTTGTACCTACTTGTTTTGAAGTAAAACACCAATAAATCACCTCAAGAGAATTTAAAAAAAACAAAACTTATTTCTCTCTTTTCTTGTAGGTTGTGGCCAGAAATTGTTCGCCAGAGAATACGTGATACTTACCTATATTTTGGTGGCAGCATAGCATTAACAGCCCTTTCTGCAGTTGCTATTTCTCGAAATCCTGCTATGCTCAACCTTATGATGAGGAACTCTTGGCTGGTATGAGAGTCTGTTATAATATTTGATTTAGTTCTGTATTCTCTGTATGTAAGTGGATGTGCAGGTGGTGACATGTATAGCGACTTTGAGTATGTAAATCAGAGAGATGAGTTCAAATCCCAGTCGGGTTTGTTACATTCACTTACATACAAATACCCTTGGACTTATATTATAAAAAAATCATTGTTATTCTCCCCAAAATTGTTAATGCAATGTTCACTCACAAAAACATAAAATAAGAATTATTCTTACAATCCAAAATATGCTTCAGCTTTAAATAACCTACAAAGGGTTGATAAGCTGTAAAAATAAATAAATAAATAAAAAATAAATAAAAATCAATCTCTATATGTAATCTTGAATATTAAGATTTTTGCTTTTGTTGACTAGTATGTTTTTTATGAAACTAAGATTGCCTGTCGTTGACTTCTACAGGATTAATACAAATATAAGATTTATCACTCAGCTGATTATTATTATATTTAGCACCCCAACTTGCTCAGACAAACCTTTGTGTAATTGTTTGGTTCACTTGTCGCAAGATGTCCACAACTGTCTGCCAATTTTCTCATTTTCTTTTATTTTCATATTAAAAAAAAAAAATAATATATGCACTTTTATTGGTGTTAGGTTGATTTTTTTTTTTTTCTTTGTGTGTGTGTATATATATATATATATATATATATATATATATATATATATATATATATATATATATACACACACACACACACACAATTTGACCTGCTAAGTGAACACACCTCTGTGGCCAAATCGGTAAAGGCACATCAAGCTAAATGACGGTTCCGTATAGGATACAGCTTCAAATCCTGTCGGAGAATGAATATTTTCTGTGAAAATTTCTAGGACATTCAGGCCAGTAAATGTTGTTTAATACTGTTTATTATAAACACAGCATTTACTTAAATATTTGTATCTATAAAAAGAATGTATGAACATAAAATGTCTTTTTATATATATATATATATATATATATATATATATATAATGTGTGTGTGTACCTTTGTATGTGTGCACATGTGTAAGATGTAGTTATTTCTTCCTTTCGTAATTTTCTTGTCTCCTTATTCTTTTTCTTTCTTTGTCTTTTGCCTATGAGTGTCAAAAATAATGTAACAATGTTATTCCCAGTGACAGGACTTATTTTTAGACTAATTTTTCTTGAATATTCTGGAGTTTTCTAATGTTTTGAAAATATAGGTGTATTTCATTTTTATTTATTTCTTCTTTTAGTGATTTATTTTATTTTTTTTTTTTAATGCTTAAATGACAAAGTAAATGTTTGTCTTTGTTTACCTATTATTTAATTTTTCTTATTTAGTAATTAATAGTTTTTTTTTTTACCTAGCTTGGTTTTTTTATATATATATATATTATATATAAAATTTTTAATATTTTTGTTTAAAATATTTTACATTGCGATATGGAACTTTCTATGTTTTGGGAATTAAATTTTTTTTTATCCCATCATCAGGCAATGTTTAGTAACTTTTGATGAAAATGATTTACTTTTGAAAACAGAAAACAATATGTTTGCTTATTAAAGACTTAAGTAGGAGGGGGACCAGATTTTTAAAATCTTATGGGTATGTCTCTTTTGACTAATCAAAAGACAGTTAAAAATATAGGTTAGATGTTGTGGGGGTAAACATACATGTCTCGGAACTGTCATATTAAGACACAGCTTCATACTTCCAGTTAAGAATATGCATTTAAGTTATGAAGAAGTAATCTGAGAGATATGTATATCTCTAATAATAGTTTTATTTATATATATATATTTTAAAATTATCTTAAAGGGGCCTCTGGTATGATTAAATCATTTTTCTATAATTTTGAACCTAAAAACAATACTTATTTAATTCAATGGGCCTTAATACATGGCAATATTAAAATTAAAAAATCAAGGAATTAAATCAATATTACATGTACCATTATTTTATATACACACACACACACATATATATATATATAAAATAATGGATATATAATTGTAATACATGGAATTTTATTTTTTTATGAAAAATCCATGAACTATTTCCTAATGTGAACATTGTACAATACCTGCATATTACAGTCAGTTTGTTACACTAATTTAATAGATTATTATCTTTAGGAAAGTTAATAATATGTAGTTTTTCATGAAGACACAGGGAGCATAGGTCATTTAAGGACTTACAAAGTTTTTTTTGTTTTTTTTAATAATTTCCATTTTACAGTGGGGGTTTTATTGATTTCTTTTAAATAGCAAAAATATTTAGATTGGGATTTTTGGTAATGGTACATATTGTCAAAAAAAGAAATATGTTGGTACCATCTTAATTTAAGAGTTTTTTTTATGCTTCAAATGTAAAATTACTTAACATCTATGTTTTCAGTAGATGAAAAAGTGCATTGATAATCAATAGATTCAGTAAGACATTTATTTTCCAAAGGACATTTTATAGGATTTCTATAATTACATAATTTATTTTTAAAATTATTGATTTCCATTTTGGAATTACTATTATTTTTATTTGGGTTTAAGTATTTATTTAAAATTTTATGTATTTTTATAATTTTTTTTCTAGATTATCAGTACTATTATGCTCTGTTGCATTGAGCACTTTTTAAAAAAGTAAATGGTAAAGAACTGTGGATTCTAAATCTGTTCTTTCTTCTCATTTTTGTGTGCGTGTGTATATATATATATATATCCTGTTTGGGTAACGCTCTAAAACAGAACTCTTTTCAAACTTGTGCTTAAAAAAAAAATAGCATTATACATAAACATGTTAAAACTGAACATTATTCTCTTTTGATATTTGCCTTTTTGAAAACTGTGTTGGCTTAATTTATATCAATCAGTATCTTTACATTTTGGTTAGCGTATTCAAATTTACAGTTATTTTCATGCAGTTTATAAGGAGATTATTACATTTAGAGTGTGATACCAAGTTCAATTCTTGAAAAGACTATAGGCACTGACAAAAAAGAAGAAAAAAGATGTAACTATTAACACTTTTGCAACAGTGATTTCACTTCAACAGCTTTATGAAATTTACATTGCCTGCTGTTGACATATGCATACACACATGTGCATTTCCAAGACACTGAAATGTCAATACTTTGCACTTCCATTATAAACTAACTGGCTCCTACTCCTATTTCCAAACTAGTGTAGACATATGACATACAATACCACTTGTTTTGTGACATTTTTATTACTTGTATGTGGGGTTATCATTTAGCTTAGCTTATACTGCAGTGTATCCAAATGAAACCAAAAAAATCACTATCAGTATCTTTTATGTCACTTTTTTTCCAGATGACAATTTTCCCCTAAATGAGCCAGTACAGCCAGTCAACAATGCAGTAACAATGCAGCTGTAAGAGTGTTAATAGTTCTCAGCATTATCTGCTGTATTCTATGTGCCATGTCACTTCAGGACATAGGCAATCTTGACTCTACACAGTCTCCTGTCCTTCATAGCTCTTAATAAATTTTGTCTTCTGTTATCTATTCTAAGCATTGTTCTGCCATCCATTTACTCAATCTCACTAAGTAGGTTATGCATTGTTTTTCTCTGTCCATTTTGCCTTCGATCTGCCCTGTAAGTATCAGATTTTCCAAGCCCCCTTTCCTCATGTGCCCTAGAATTTTTAACTCTTTCTGATGTTAAGTATAGGTTTCCTTTTTGTTTCCATTTTCTCTTTGTTGTTGCTCATGTTTAGTCCATGGTATTCACAGCATCCTTCTGTAGCACCACATTAAAGGATGAAAAAAGTTTTTTTTTTCTCAAGCAAATGAAATTAATAATTTAATTTTCTACAAGTTGTATACAGACTTATTTCTTTTAGATATCATGTAAGCTGCAAATTACTCTTACGTACTTAATACATGAGGAGGTCTTAATTATGGGAGGGGGTGTAGAAATATTTCATAATATGCAATAAAATGGGGTTTGGAAAATAAGGGTTGGTATTAATAAGCTCAGAGGATGGTAAAAAATTCTTTAAAAAAAAAACACATCTTCTCCATAAATGAAGAAAACTTGAAAATGTCCTCAATTAGAACTAACCTAAGATCTTTCAATATGTGACTTATTGATATTTAGTCAGCTAATCTGAATATAGTACCAATTTTTATTGCACTTATCTTACAAACGAAGCAGGTCCTGTCTGCCTTGAAAAATCACTATTTACAATCCTGACCTTTTTACCAAGATGCAAGCACCAGGCTCTGATGCACTTAGGAAATGTCTGATTTATCCTGAGCTTATATCCTGTATTTATTTGGCAATTTTCTTGGAATTAATAGACAAACATTGCATCTAATCTAAGAAACTTGAAGAATTTTATGTATGTATGTATGTATGTATGTATGTGCAATTGCTTGCGTGTATGTCTCATATCTTTATTTTGCTCTTCTCTAGGCTATTGGTGCCTCATTTGCAGCAATGATTGGTAGTGGAATGTTGGTACGATCTCTTCCTTACACAGAAGGGTTTGGTGCCAAGCAAATGGCTTGGATGCTGCACAGTGGAGTTGTTGGTGCAGTTGTTGCTCCACTTTGCCTTATGGGAGGACCCATTCTTGTCCGGGCTGCTTGGTACACAGTTGGTGTTGTTGGAGGTATGTAAAATTCTTTCTATTATCAATCTAGGTCATTTCTTCACATCTGCTGCATTATCTTTGGGTTAATTCAAAACCCAACTCATGGATTAGGTTCTTGAGTCTACTTTAGTAACTTTTTTATCATAAAGTCTAAAGAGATTGTGCTGTCGGATCCTTTTATTCAATATAAGCAAGTTTTATTTGGTAGAAGGAAATAACATTTCTCTTTCCTCCCCTGCCACATGTTTACTAAATTTTATGTTCTTATCTGAAATTTTGCAAACCAAAATTAATATATGGCCAAGGATATTTTTCTTAAATAACTGTTCATGGAGTTTAATTTATACATATGTAAGCACACATGGCATTCAAAAAGTAAACTTTCTCAAATATATACAGGAGGTACTAACCATTTGTGGAATAACTAACAATGGTTGGCTAAAGAATCAGCAAAATTCATCTTCAACACTTCTCAAGCAAAATCACCTTTGCAAAATATATTTCAAAGGTGTGAGAGATATAAACAAAACGGTTGTAGTTAATAAATTTCAACTATTATAAAGTTGGCAATTCAAAGTGCTAAAAATATAAGCTAGAATCTATAAGATGTAAGATAAATGAAGAATAAAATGTAAAATCAAGGCAACTCTAGTTTTACGCACAAAAATGAGGGATCATTAGGCCAGGTTCAATTTTCTATCTTACACACACACACACACACACACACACAGTGTATTTAGACAGCAAGGATTCATCCAAACAAGTTTTGTTAAATTCAACTGACAAGATCTATTGATTTTTTTTTTTTTTTTTTATTGTGCTTTTCAAATAAGACTAATTAACTTCAGCCAGTTTGTCCACAATTTTGGTCCCGAGATAAATTTTGTTGAAAAATTGAAAAAATACAATAAAAGCTTAGACCATCTTGGTTGAATATAACAAATTCTAATGGTACACACATATCTAATGATAATAGTATTTTGAAAATATAAAAATTAATAAATTTAAAAGTCTGCAAAATAGTCATCAAATCCTGAAAGAGGAAACTTCAAATTAATGAAATTTCATTCATTGACTACTGAAATGTGTTTGCCTAATTTATTTCATTTTTTATATTTGGTAAGTCAAATGCTTCTGAGCCGGGAAGAACTGTTTACTGTCACCTAATAAAATTACTATGTATAGTAAAATATTGCAAATTCTACATTGCAAGTAATGTTTTCTTTTATCCCTTTTTGTTTAGGATAAGAACTATTCAGCACTTTATATATAAGGTTTATGCACATTTTTTTTTTCTAAAACAAAATATTGCAAAATTTTACTTAATTTTGCAATATTTTCTGAGGTGTTGAAAATGTCTTTAAACATCACTTCAGAGATAAGAAATTTTCCTATTTTCAAGATTTAGCATCAACCTGAGGATAATAAAACCAATTTCTGTAAAGTCAATGTTGGCTCAAGAAAGAAATGACTGGAACTTTGGGGTCATTTTCTCTCCATGATTAGCTGTTAAATATCAGTTTCATATTTATCTTTTTTGCTATTTAAGCAGGTGATCCATTATTGGCATTATCTCTGGTAATTTATTAATGTTTAAAATTAATTTTTATTTATTCTGGAAAAGCTATTCTAGACAAGTTGAATCTCCATATAAACTTCTCGAGTTATTAAATGGCCTCATCAGATCAAGACCTTCATATGGATGTCATGCATGGCATCAAACCATATCGGAAATATCTGAAATGTCAGTTGAATACAACCGCTTTTTAAGAGTAATGATTAAAAAATAGCTCTGATTGAAGCCTATGGCTTTTGGTGAAGGTCACACTTCTTTGAACCTTGTGAACTAGAACTACAGAATTGCAAAGAAAGAATTGTACCAAATAGCCACATCACTTGAGGACTTTCAACAACAACAACAGCTAAAATGGATATTGCATGTTACATGAAAGAAAATAATGATATAATCAAGATGTCAACTACTTCAAATAAAAGGTTAGGAAGGAAAACCCCATCGATACTGGAAAGAATGATAACAGCTACTGAACTTGACAAACCTATCTTCCTACAAAATTGTTTTAAGAGAATAATTTCATAAATTTCAATAGATCGTGGCGCAGGCTATTCGGTCAATGAATTTCAAATGTTTCCTATAAGGAAATGGCTAATATTACCATTATAGAAATAAACTAATTAAGATCACAACCTAATATAGTTATCTCCCCTTAGATATTTTGCCCATAAAGTATTGTTTTGTTATGTATGCATCCACCACATTGATTGGATAAATTCATCTGAATGAAACCATTACAAATTGGTGACAAGATCATCAAATATTGGGCAGAAATGGTGTTTTACTGACATTTAGAGACTTTTGACAATTTAAATGTCTTGAGAGTGCTATTGTAAAGTTTGAGTTAATTTTTGGTGTTTTTATGACCAATGACAACAGAGTTACAAAAACAGCTATTTTTCTCGGCACTTTTGGCTGTAATGTACAAGCTAACTATCAAACTTTTCAACCTGAAAATGCAAGCTATGAATTGGAGGCACCAAAATCCATCAAGTATAAAAATTTAAATATAAGTAAGTGTTTAACAGAGAACAGGAAATGCAAAGCCAAAATCCCAAAGCACACTGCAATAGCAAAAGTGCCTTCTGGAAAGTTAAGCAACAAAGGAAAATTTCATTATAAACAAAGAAATGAATACTAGACTGTTGTGTAATTGTGGTTAATTTAGTTCACCAGTCATTTGTGATAACTGAAATGGATTAAGGTTCTTGCTTTCAAGTGACTGACCTCTTCTTTCTTGTTCATCTGTCCGTATGACATCACGGCAACGAAAGTTCTGCTGACCCCCCCCCCCCTTCACAGGCTCACTATTTATGCCTGCATCAAGGGGAACTAATATTTGCATACAAGACTTTATTTGACTTCCTATTTTATAAATTCAAGCTGGTTTGAAATCTTTGATTATTTTCATTGTACGTCTGCACATGAGATAGGAATTTTGAATCCATTTCACTTTTAATGGCAGTCATGATCTTTCAACAATACCTGACACACCAAGCAAATTCACTTTACGGGAGTTTAGTCATCTCGTTCCTCACAGTAATATTGGTCCTCCTATATGGCAGTGAATGCTGGACAAATCTCACATATGAAGCAGAGACTCTTCTACAGATTCTGAGAATATTATCAACAGAACATGTAATCAATGAACAAGTGTTAGAGAAAATGAATAACAAAAAGGACACTTGTACTTTGAATCAGACAATTGAAATTTCTGAGGCATGTAATGAGGAAAGAGTGCTTGGGGAATTTAACACTAACAGGACATGTTGAAGGCAAGAGGGACAGGAACAAGCTTGTGTAAATGGCTGGCAGAACAGGGATTGGGAGAAAATAAAAAGACACTACTAAAAGCTACAATGGACAGGAAGTTGTGGGGAACCATGATCGCTCATGTCCTGAAGGAATACAGCACATAAAAGAAGAAACCTGATGCATGACATATGAGGAACTGATGAGTCATTGTGCAGTGGTTTAAATTCTCTGCAAGATTCTATCAGATAAGAATGTTCATGGCACATTCCTAGCTGATCTCCATAACATAAGTGAAGATTGTCATCTTGGTGGCTTCTCAACATCTGAAGAGATAAACCAATTATGGAAATTAATGATGACAGGACATAATGGAGACTATTGGCAAAAAAAAGAAACCAACTTTCCAAGAAGCCTTTTAATACTGCTGTAGGTATAAAGTCAATGGTAAACAATTTACAGGACCTTCAAGATTCAATGTTGAAGACAGAGGTAAGACAGATGTCAAGAAAGTGCATGCCAAATCAATCTTCTAGCCTAAGTCTTGTGTGCCAACACAGAAAGGCAAACGGTGTCGTAGATGTAGTGCTTCTCATAATCCGAGTAGTATAAATTTCATTGGCCACATGGAATTATTGCAAGAGTTATGGATACATTTTGGAAAAGTTTCAAGTTTAAAACCAAATGGAAGATCATGATGAGAAAAACAAAACCTGTAAGTGAGGTGAAGCTGCAGAAGGAGACAATACAAACATAAATACAAAATTAATGCAATTGAGTAGGTCAGTTCATACTGAGTGGATTTGAGAATAAATGGTAAGAATATATCTCTATGAAAATATACAGTAGCTACAGTTTCTCTTATCAGGGTAGCAGATGTTGGATAAAGTTGGAACAAACTTTCTTTGAAGCAAATAAAGATTAGGTTGGAATCATTCACACGAAAGATTTTCCAATAAAAAGATATTCGAGTCGCAGTTCAGTTAATGAATTTCAAGAGTTTTCATTCCTTGCTAAAGAATGCAATTCAAACACTTTTAAGTCAAAATTGGTTAGAACATATAAAATTGCCTTTCTTATACATTGTAAAGTCTGTAGACATTAGGAAATTGGAAAAACTCTTGAAAGTATTCTGTATATGGAGATGAGTAGAGAAGTGGTAAAAGCTTTGTGGCTCTAGATGCTAAGCCCAAGAACTACAAACCTTGTTCTGACCGATAAAATTAGAATAAAAAAAACATTTGAAATTGTGGAGTTTATAAAGTAATCAAAACGGATAATTAACCTCTATCCAAGATTAAAGATGTCTATGCAACATTGAAAAGAGGGTGAATGTTGCTGCACCATCTTCTCCTGAGGCAAACATGCCAGTGAAATGCATTTGAAAGACTTTTTATAAATTCTGCTGTACTTTGCAACACATTTGAAAGACTATATATTGTTATAAACTCTGCTGAATTTTGACATTTACTTTTGCCAGCATAATTCACACTTTCCAAGAAATTCCTTTAAGAAAATAATGTAATTTTAAAACCTTTTTTTTCCTTTTTTTTTTTTTTAAATTTTCACTTCAAGTAAGTTGTTAATGCCACTAAGACACGAGGGGTTGCTGTGAGTGGAATACAATAAGGAGGAGAAAAAGACAATAAAAGAACAGGATTCCAGAAGAGAGAAGATGGTAAATGATGTTGCATTTAAAGTTTAGAATATGATAGGTAACATGGAAGAAAAAAAAACTTGGATAGTTCCAGAAGTGTGAGAAAAGAAGCTCTCAGAATAGAACTTGTAGCTATTTCACCAGTAAAGCAATGAAACCTTGTAGACAATCTAGTTGTAGGCTAAAATTCACACAGTTGAGGTGCCAAGAAGAACTCATTAGAACAACTGCCATGAAAATATTTACAAAAAAAAAAACAGAGGGTAGCTATGTCACAGCAGTGGAATGAAAATATTTCATTTCTTTGGGTTTTTTTTTTTTTTTAACAATATAGAGAGATATAGCTGGAGTACCAGGGCAGATAATGTAGCTAACAAGATTTAATGTCCAGGTGAATGGTAGATTTATATATGTGCAAGTTGGATTCTGACAAGAAAAATTGTCTGGTACAACACAGTGAACCAACCTTCTTAGCATCTGACCTAACACATAGAATTTAGATTATATTTTTCATTGTACTGTGATCATGTGGTATGTATGAAGTTAAAAGTGTGGTAATGTAATATATTTTTTTAAAGTAAAGTTTCATTTACTCTAAAAGAAATGTGTAGACAAGTACATTATTCATATAAACTTATAGAAATAAAACTGTTAAAATAACCTTTTTAAAATAGTTAACTCCCCTGATCTATTCTACCCATAAAGTATAGTTTTTCATTTTATTGTCATTGCATCAGCCATGTTGATGAAATAAACATGTTCGAATGAAACAAATGCATATCTTGCTTTTCACCTTATTTAATAAACATATTTTTAAAAAAATATACAGGATATAATGTCTTTTAAAATTCTTTTCTTACTTATTTTCCCATCAGTTTGACTTTGGATTTGAAAGGGATACTCCCCCCCCCCCGGTTTGGTAGACTTTCTTTAAGTGTTTTTATTTTAAAAAAAAAAAAAAAAAAAATTCCGAGTACACTAAATCCCCGTAAAATATCATTAGCTGACCAATATAAAGAATGTTAACACTATATCTCACAGAAATATTTTGATTGGCTTTTTACTGACTCCTATGATCTTGAACAGAAAATCAACATTCTCTACCAAGTGTTCCAAGAAAAAAGACTCTGTACAAACCATTCCAAAACATAAACTATGATCTGGAATTAGAATGAAAGCAGTGACAACATAAAAAAATTCAGAGTGTGGGATTAATAAATGCCAAACACTTTGTATGGATCACAGTTATAACAAATTTAGTGTAGGAGAAAAGGAAATTGAACATCAAAAGGCTGCACTACAGGGAGTTTCACCCAACACTGCAAATTGCTGCAAAACATCAAGCAGAAAACTAGTCATATTCTTAAATAGCTTTGTTAGATCAAGACTTTCATATGGTGGTCATGTGTGGTGCCAAATCCATTCAGCTGGAAACGACCACTTTCTAAGATCAATGGCTAAAAAAGGCTTTGGGCGAGTGAAGCCTGAGAGTCTTAGCACAGATCATCCTTCTTTGGATATTATGGACTGGCACTACGGAATCACAAAGAAATGTACCAAATAACAGAAAACACACCACTTGAAGACTAACTAACAGAAGCAACAAGTAAAATTGATAGCACATGTTACTTGAAGAGAAAATGATATGATCAAGATATTGACATTCAACATTACTTCAAATAAGAGGTTAGAAAGGAAACCCCTTCTTTACCCCCACCGCCCCCATCAATATTGAAAAAGCAAAAAAAAACTACTGGGCTTGAGAAACCCGTTTTCTTGAAAAATTGTTTTAAGAGAAAAATTTTATGAATTTCAACTGAAACTGACTGCTTGTTCAATGATGCTAAATGTTTATTGTTAATGAACTTTCAGATATCATCTTTACATTAATTATGTGGAACTTTTTTTTTTTTTTTTTTTTTTTTTTTTTTTTTCAGGTCTTTCTACTTTGGCAATGTGTGCTCCCAGTGAAAAATTCCTTAACATGGGAGGCCCACTAGCTGCTGGTCTTGGAGTTGTATTTGTTTCCTCCATTGGTAGGTCTGCTTGATTATTTGTTTCTTTGTAATCTGACAACCAAGAAATTAGAGTGTAATGTTTACGAGATAAATTAGTGGCTGGGAAATTTTGGTTGAATCTTTCAATACTCACTTTCATTTTTTATATATATATATATATATATATATATATATATATATATATATTGTTTTTAGTCAGCAGTCCTTCTTTCATGCAAGTTTCATTAAATATAACTGACAAGGTGCTTTTCTTTTCAGATGTACAACAATCTATTTCTAATTAACAGTTAATATATTTCAACCTTGAAAATGGCTAAATGTATAGCCAAAAGCACTTGGAAAAAAAGCATTTGGACAGTTTTTATATAATTTATCTACTGAAAAGAAAAGGATTATAAGATCACATGGGATATTATTATATAAAAAGAAAACTTAATCAAAGCACCTTGTCTATCATATTTAACGAAATATATATATATGGCGTTCATTCTTTATTCTCTCTCTCTCCCTCTCTGGCGTTCATTCTTTATTCTCTCTCTCTCTCCCTCTCTCTGGCGTTCATTCTTTATTCTCTCTCTCTCTCCCTCTCTCTGGCGTTCATTCTTTATTTCTCTCTCCCTCTCTCTGGCGTTCATTCTTTATTCTCTCTCTCCCTCTCATTCTTTATTCTCTCTCTCCCTCTCATTCTTTATTCTCTCTCTCTCCTTCATTCTTTATTCTCTCTCTCTCCCTCTTCTCTCTCGTTCATTCTTTATTCTCTCTCTCTCTCCCTCTCATTCTTTATTCTCTCTCTCTCCCTCTCATTCTTTATTCTCTCTCTCTCCCTCTCATTCTTTATTCTCTCTCTCTCCCTCTCATTCTTTATTCTCTCTCTCTCCCTCTCATTCTTTATTCTCTCTCTCTCCCTCTCATTCTTTATTCTCTCTTCCTCTCATTCTTTATTCTCTCTCTCTCTCTCTCATTCTTTATTCTCTCTCATTCTTTATTATTCTCTCTCTCCCTCTCATTCTTTATTCTCTCTCTCCCTCTCATTCTTTATTCTCTCTCTCCTCTCATTCTCATCTCTCCCTTCATTCTTTATTCTCTCTCTCCCTCTCATTCTTTATTCTCTCTCTCTCCCTCTCATTCTTTATTCTCTCTCTCTCCCTCTCATTCTTTATACTCTCTCTCTCCCCTCATTCTTTATTCTCTCTCTCTCCCTTCATTCTTTATTCTCTCTCTCTCCTCTCATTCTTTATTCTCTCTCTCTCCCTCTCATCTCTCTCCCTTCATTCTTTCTTTCTCTCTCCCTCTCATTCATCTCTCTCTATTCTCTCTCTCTCCCTCTCATTCTTTATTCTCTCTCTCCCTCTCATTCTTTTTTTCTCTCTCTCCCTCTCATTCTTTATTCTCTCTCTCTCCCTCTCATTCTTTATTCTCTCTCTCTCCCTCTCATTCTTTATTCTCTCTCTCTCCCTCTCATTCTTTATCATTCTTTATTCTCTCTCTCTCCCTCATTCTTTATTTCTCTCTCTCTCCTCTCATTCTTTATTCTCTCTCTCTCTCCCTCTCATTCTTCATTCTTTATCTCTCTCTCTCTCCCCTCTCATTCATTCTTTTATTCTCTCTCTCTCCTCTGGCGTTCATTCTTTATTCTCTCTCTCTCTCTCGTTCATTCTTTATTCTCTCTTCTCTTTATTCTTTATTCTCTCTCTCCCTCTCTCATTCATTTTATTCTCTCTCTCTCCTCTCTGGCGTTCATTCTTTATTCTCTCTCTCTCCCTCTCTCTGGCGTTCATTCTTTATTCTCTCTCTCTCTCCTCTCTCATTCTTTATTCTCTCTCTCCCTCTCATTCTTTATTCTCTCTCTCTCCCTCTCATTCTTTATTCTCTCTCTCCCCTCTCATTCTTTATTCTCTCTCTCTCTCATTCTTTATTCTTCTCTTCTCATTCTTTCTCCTCTCTCATTCTTTATTCTATTCTCTCTCCCTCTCATTCTTTATTTCTCTCTCCCTCTCATTCTTTATTCTCTCTCTCCCCTCTCATTCTTTATTCTTTATTCTCTCTCTCCCTCTCATTCTTTATTCTCTCTCTCTCCCTCTCATTCATCTCTCCCTCTCATTCTTTATTCTCTCTCTCCCTCTCATTCTTTATTCTCTTCTTTCATTCTTTATTCTCTCTCTCCCTCTCATTCTTTCTTCTCTCTCTCTCCCTCTCATTCTTTATTCTCTCTCTCCCTCTCATTCTTTATTTCTCTCTCTCCCTCTCATTCTTTTCTCTCTCTCTCCCTTCATTCTTTATTCTCTCTCTCTCTCATTCTTTATTCTCTCTGGCCCTCTATTCTTTATTTTCTTCTCTCTCTCCCTCTCTCTGGCGTTCATTTTTTTTTCTCTCTCTCTCCCTCTCTCTGGCGTTCATTCTTTATTTTTCTTCTCTCTCCCCTCTCTCTGGCGTTCATTCTTTATTCTCTCTCTCCCCTCTCTCTGGCGTTCATTCTTTATTCTCTCTCTCCCTCTCTCTGGCGTTCATTCTTTATTCTCTCTCTCCCTCTCTCTGGCGTTCATTCTTTATTCTCTCTCTCCCTCTCTCTGGCGTTCATTCTTTATTCTCTCTCTCCCTCTCTCTGGCGTTCTTTATTCTCTTCCTCTCTCTCGTTCATTCTTTATTCTCTCTCCCTCTCCCTCTGTTCGTTCATTCTTTATTCTCTCTCTCTCTCCCTCTGGCGTTCATTCTTTATTCTCTCTCTCTCTTCTGGCGTTCATTCTTTATTCTCTCTCTCTCTCTCCCTCTGGCGTTCATTCTTTATTCTCTCTCTCTCTCCCTCTCATTCTTTATTCTCTCTCTCCCTCTCTCTGGCGTTCATTCTTTATTTTCTCTCTCTCCTCCCTCTCTCTGGCGTTCATTCTTTATTTTCTCTCTCTCTCTCCCTCTGGCGTTCATTCTTTATTCTCTCTCTCTCTCCCTCTGGCGTTCATTCTTTATTCTTCTCTCTCTCTCCCTCTGGCGTTCATTCTTTATTTCTCTCTCTCTCTCCCTCTGGCGTTCATTCTTTATTCTCTCTCTCTCTCTCCCTCTGGCGTTCATTCTTTATTCTCTCTCTCTCTCCTCGTTCATTCTTTATTCTCTCTCTCCTCTGGCGTTCATTCTTTATTCTCTCTCTCCTCTGGCGTTCTTTTTTTTCTCTCTCTCTCTCTGTTCATTCTTTATTCTCTCTCTTTATTTTCTTTATTCTCTCTCTCCCTCTGGCGTTCATTCTTTATTTCTCTCTCTCCCTCTGGCGTTCATTCTTTATTTCTCTCTCCTCTGGCGTTCATTCTTTATTTTCTCTCTCCCTCTGGCGTTCATTCTTTATTTCTCTCTCCTCTGGCGTTCATTCTTTATTCTCTCTCTCCTCTGGCGTTCATTCTTTATTCTCTCTCTCCCTCTGGCGTTCATTCTTTATTCTCTCTCTCCCTCTGGCGTTCATTCTTTATTCTCTCTCTCCCTCTGGCGTTCATTCTTTATTCTCTCTCTCTCTCTGGCGTTCATTCTTTATTCTCTCTCTCTCTCTGGCGTTCATTCTTTATTTCTCTCTCTCTCTGGCGTTCATTCTTTATTTCTCTCTCTCTCTGGCGTTCATTCTTTATTTTTCTCTCTCTCTGGCGTTCATTCTTTATTTTCTCTCTCTCTCTGGCGTTCATTCTTTATTTTCTCTCTCTCTCTGGCGTTCATTCTTTATTTTCTCTCTCTCTCTGGCGTTCATTCTTTATTTTCTCTCTCTCTCTGGCGTTCATTCTTTATTTTCTCTCTCTCTCTGGCGTTCATTCTTTATTTTCTCTCTCTCGTTCATTCTTTATTTTCTCTCTCTCTGGCGTTCATTCTTTATTTTCTTTCTCTATGCGTTCATTCTTTATTTCTCTCTCTCTCTGGCGTTCATTCTTTATTTTTTTCTCTCTCTGGCGTTCATTCTTTATTTTTTCTCTCTCTCTGGCGTTTTCTTTATTTTCTCTCTCTCTCTGCGTTCATTCTTTTTTTTCTCTCTCTCTGCGTTCATTCTTATTTTTCTCTCTCGTTCATTCTTTTTTTTCTCTCTCTGGCGTTCATTCTTTATTTTCTCTCTCTCTCTGGCGTTCATTCTTTATTTTCTCTCTCTCTGGCGTTCATTCTTTTTTTTCTCTCTCTCTCTGGCGTTCATTCTTTATTTTCTCTCTCTCTCTGGCGTTCATTCTTTATTTTTCTCTCTCTCTGGCGTTCATTCTTTATTTTTTTCTCTCTCTCTCTGGCGTTCATTCTTTATTTTCTCTCTCTCTCTGGCGTTCATTCTTTATTTTCTCTCTCTCTCTGGCGTTCATTCTTTATTTTTCTTCTCTCTGGCGTTCATTCTTTTTTTTCTCTCTCTCTGGCGTTCATTCTTTATTTTCTCTCTCTCTGGCGTTCATTCTTTATTTTTTCTCTCTCTCTCTCGTTCATTCTTTATTTTTCTCTCTCTCTCGCGTTCATTCTTTATTTTTTCTCTCTCTCTGGCGTTCATTCTTTTTTTTCTCTCTCTCTGGCGTTCATTCTTTATTTTCTCTCTCTCTCTCTCTGGCGTTCATTCTTTATTTTTTTCTCTCTCTGGCGTTCATTCTTTATTTTCTCTCTCTCTCTGGCGTTCATTCTTTATTTTCTCTCTCTCTCTGGCGTTCATTCTTTATTTTCTCTCTCTCTGGCGTTCATTCTTTATCTCTCTCTCCCTCTTTGGCGTTCATTCTTTATTTTCTCTCTCTCTCTCTCTCTCGTTCATTCTTTATTTTCTCTCTCTCACACTCTCTCTCTATATATATATATATATATATATATATATATTTTTTTTGGCAGTTTATTTACAATTTCCCATGTGAGTCTTTTATAAAAAGGTGAAATGCATACTCTTAAATACCATTTTCATTTTGTCTCCTTATCCCCACATATTGGTTAATATATGTTTAGTTTAAAGCACTAAGAGGTAACATTCCTAAATACTTTGGTAAGATGTTCTTTGTATAGAAATTTATTCATCTTAACCTGATGGATTTTCTTTATTTTTTTTTTTTTTTTTCCCCCTATTTCAGGTGGTATGTTCTTCCCACCTACATCTGCCCTTGGAGCTGGTCTGTACTCCATCAGTATTTATGGTGGTCTCGTACTTTTCTCCATGTTCCTGCTGTATGACACTCAGAAAATTATCAAGAATTCTGAACACTACCCTGTCTATGCGCCTCGGCCATATGATCCTATCAACAAGTCAGTATACATTTTGCATATTTCAAGTATTTCTCCAAAGTATGAGATGAATGCATATGGTGTGAACAAAAATGTCTGAAATTCTGAGTACTCACTTTGTGAATATTATTGGTCCCTTGAGATAATGTATAAAATAGAAAAATTCTGACATTATTTAGCATATACAGATTGCGGCAAGAATAACTCCCATAAGATATTAGTGGCAATAGTGTCTTCATGTAACTAATGTCTTACCATTATATGCTGCACCTTGCATTTAATCAACCAGATTAAGTCATCTAAAACTGTATAATGCAAAGTAATATTTTGTTCTTATAGCCAAACTTAATTAAATTTTTACCTTTTTAAAAAAACCTTAACCAATCTTTTATTCTTTTTCTGATAAATTGTATGCTTTTTAATCTAGTTGATTAGCTGATCTGTTTTTGTTTTTTTTTTTATCCCTTCATAATAATTTTACTTGTGCTTGTCTGACCTACAGTTCTATTGGAATCTACATGGACACTGTCAACATTTTCATCCGCATTGCAACTATCCTCTCTGGTGGCAACTCTCGGCGACGGTAAACAATCCCAAGGATATTTTACTTGTACTCAGGAACTAAAGAACTGAAGAGTTCTTATTGAAAATAAAACCAATAAGAACAATATTCCTGATAGAATTGGCTGTCATGTAGTAAGATATGTAATAAAACAGACGTTAAATATTAACCCAATTTTTTTTTTTTTTTTTTTATAATGCATAAAGCTTTTATGTACTGTACACTTTTTAAAAAATGTTTTGCATAATTAATGTCTGATTGCAAATAAAGCTCCAATTTACTGTTATTGTATTACTGTAAACATGGCAGGTTGGAGAAGAAAGCATATTATATTCAGTCAGAAATTTTAATGTACCAAGATAAGTTTATTTACATCAAAATTTTAGAAAATAAAATAAAAATTGCTTTAAAATTTCTTTCTGGTGGGAAATTTCAGAATGAAGAGATTAAATTAAGTGTTTGATAAATCCATGGTTGGGCAATGAAGAACAAAAACTTTGTATATTTGAAATGTTTTCTGTAATTAAGAATTACCAACAATAAACATTATTCTGTTAATTTGCTTTGTTTTTTTTTTGTTTGTTTTTTAACTAACTTGTTCTTGTAGATAGCCTAGCATAAATATTTTCTTTCTCTCTTTTTTCATTTATATATATATATATATATATATATATATATATATATATATATACACACACACTTGTGCAAATTAATTGAAACAAAACAATTGCATTATTATTTACTTTTGATATTTTTCCAATGAAATATGACCCAGTGCACATGTTAGTACTTCGTATGCCCATTCCATGATGTTGTTCCTTGCAGATTGACCAGATTCAATGATTGGATTTAAATCAGAGGAGTTTCTGGGCCAGTCTAGTACTTTAATTTGCTCACTGGTAAGGCTTGCCAGTGTATTCATGCAGCGTTACAATTTTTGTATGCTTCTTTGGAATACTTTCCATCACAGACAATGGCTGCAGGACAACTAACTAATCGGCAGTTGAAGCAATAGTGTCTGGGCATTATAAAAATCTGATGCAATTATGGATGGTGCAATATTTATGAAAGCCAAACAAATTTCATCATACACCCCGAAAATAGACTCATGTTACTGCACACCACTGCAAATGACCTAATCTGAGGAAAAAATAGAAATCAATTACACCCTATCACTTCAGTGGGGATAAAACTGACCATATGTTTTAAGAAAGAAAACTAAAGCAGTTGTTTCAATTAATTTGTACTGGTGTGTATATGTATATGTGTGTATGTATGTGTGTGTGTGTATGTATATATATATATATATATATATCCCCAATCAAGTTTTATTAAATAAAATTTTAAATTTAGTTAAATACATCTTGCTTAAGATACAGATCACTCATATATATATATATATATATATATATATATATATATAAACATACAAATCACTCAATTCCTGACAATGACTGTGGCAGTCGAAAATACAAAAAAATGAACTTTAGACAGTTTAACAATTTTAATCATGATGTAAAACACTACTATGGAAATTTAGTATAAAAAGCTAAATAGACAGACTTTGTTCTTGCTACTTAATAATTTGTTTGGATGAATTCTTGCTGTCATATATATATATATATATATATAATCAACTCTCCCGTCGAGATTCGACATATGAGGGTCAAGCAGATCAGTTTCCAGGAAACCGACAGCCCGACACTGGCACATGCGATTTGATTATAGTGGTGAAGGCTTCGTGCAGGACCATCCACACTTTTTGAAGGGACGAATACAGAAACCTGGTGCACCTAATGCCACAAGGTTCCCAAACGCCCCTCCGCAGGTTTTGAATTCAGAGTTGTCCTTCTTCTAGACCAGTTGCCATCCAAGGCTATAGAACCCAGTCTGTCCTGCTATTTTACCCATAGCTGGAGGGAGAGGAAGAGGATTCATACCTTTCCCAAGGATAGTAGCACATAAGTGAATGTAATGGATTAGACTGGAATTGAACTCTGCCTCTGCGATTCCTCAATCCAAGCCACTATCCATTACTCCACTGTGCCTCCATATATATATATATATATATATATATATATATATATATATATATATATATATATATATATATATAATACATAGCAGGCTTAGCAGTTGACCTCTGTTCACTTTTATATTTACATACATTCTATCCCTATCATTGAGCACTTTTACCCATAAATAGAGAATACCTTAAAACTATCTTTTTATCATTTTTTATATATAAACACAAACTTGAAGTATTTACCAAACTTACTTGAGTTGAAAACAGGGCCATAAGTGTTGAGTACTCATTGAGGATTTATCTCTGAACACAGAAGTAATGATCTTGCTGGTCAAACTTGCTAACCTTTAGCACACAGCAAGGCTTGATAAAATATTTACTAAGTTATGCTTAGTCTGACACAAGGCAATAAAGCCACAAGGGGTTACTGAGTGTAAAAGAATATGAGGAAAAAGAAATTTGTTTTATCAGAATCTTTGTCTGAGATAATACTTTCCCACACTATATGATAAGGAAATATATGATCCCACAGTCTCGGACAAGTAATAGATAAGTATCGTTCACTTACTTGATTATAATATATAGTATGCTTTTACCTGTAAACTTATTTATTTGTATTTTCTTTTTTAAATGCCAAAATCTATATTCTTCAACCTGTAGACTCTCCATAGAACAGTGCAACAGTACTATGTTGCTACAGTTTCAGTAACAAGTAGTTTTATTGCTAAATTCTAACTCGAAAGCCCATCTATTTTTACCCTTACATGAGGTGATAAATGTATTTATAACTTCCCCAAGGGTATTAGTATAAAGAGGACATAATTCTTTTAAAATTATATCAAGTGTCTGTTTTTTTTTTTCTTTTCTTTTTAGACTGTCCCTTTGAGATTTAGGCAGTGATGGCTGTCTACAGATTACTTTTCTTATCTGTGAATTGCCATTAATTCTTGAGAAAGATAGTGCAATCACTTCCTGTTGTCCTCCTCAGCTAGCTGCTATCTATGGTTAAAGAGTCCAATCTACTCTGTTCTTTCTTCTATTACTAAGGGTGGGTAGAAGAAATGGATTCATACCTTTTCCGAGGGCAATAGTGCAAAAATGAATGTAATAGACTAGACCAAAATTTGAAGTTAGCCTACCAATTCCCATCTGCACTGATAAGTTAAGGTACAAGGACATTGAATTTCTCTGAAGGTTAGGGAACTCACTCTGCCCTGGTATTTAACCCATATCTGGGGGAATGCACAGTACACGGTTGAAAACCAGATGTATTTATCTATCTGTTTATCTCACTGCCTTTTTCACAGTTAAATACTAATAGGCATACTATATTTGCATTCAATTTTAGCTAATTAATATGATTTTCTCTTATTAAAATAACTTTCTGCAACAGAATGAAAAAGAATATACATATATATATATATTCATACGTTTCATTAAATAATATAGACAAGTGTTGTCTATTTATTCTATGTAAATTCTTTTCATAACGTCTGATAAGCTTAATAACATTATCATTAAACGAAGAAAAAAAAATCACAATATTGATCCATATTTTTTAATCCAATCTTTCAGCTTACATAAGCCATTATCAAACATGCTGCCTAAATACACACTATATATATATATATATATATATATATATAATTTTTTTTTTTTTTTTTTTTAATCATGACACCCCAATCAAGGCAGGAATGCTACTAGTATGCAGAGTGAAGGAGAGCAAAAAAACTGGGTATAGAGGGGACCAAGAAAAGGATAAAAGCTGAACGGGGGTTCAAGAAGATAGAAGATGGCGATTGATGTTGCATTTAAATTTTTGAAGATTGTAGTTATCAGGAAATAGAAGGGAAATGCACAAAAAGAAACTGTTGAAGTAGAAGTGGCAGTTACATTTACGTAATTCATCAGTAAAAGGATGGGACTGAAGATGCCAATCTAGTAGCACGCTTAAACACATGTAGTCTGGGCTCAAGGTGGGGAAAAGCTCATCAAAGCAGTAGCCAAGAAAATATTTGTAGAAAAGACAGGAAAACCATGTCACGTTAGTGAGAAAGTGACTGAAGTCGAGATGCCAAGTCAGGACTGATTACATTGCAGATCCTCTGGATTTTGTCAAGAATCTTGAGATATGTAGCAGGAGCACCTGACCAGATATGGCAACAGTATTCAATGAACAAATGAATGCCTAGTCAGTCCTGGATCAAAAGAGACATGGTCACCCAAGTATACATAACACATGACACTTGACATTTTTTTTATCATTTCTCACTTTGTTGCTATTCTATTCACCATGCTTCACTTTAATCATTTTGTATTCTAACAAAGCAAATTCCAGTCATAAGCTGTTGTTGGTTTTTGAAACTGTACTTAAGTCATTGATAACTGTACAATTATGAATTAAGAAAAAGGACATTATCACTAGTACATAGTTATCAATGACATCAATCTGCCTTGCCTTTGGAAGAAGCTGTTCAAGTGGAACTTTCTTCTCAATCATGGAATACGAAGGGAAAGAGTGTTGTTCATTACAGTGTACGTGGCATGTAGGGTCCTAACTGGTGGAATTAACGAATGTAGCTCATTTGAACATTTTCCATGATAACAACAATAGATTAGCAAGAAGCTTGCAATGTTTCATCTGTGGCAAAAAGGAGTTGTAAGGTGGAAAATGATCACTCACAAGGCCACATAGACACTTTTAGACTCAATCAAGACTTTTGAAAGAAGACTGTTAATGATCAGAGTACCTTTTTGTATATGTCGCCTTGATTTATTTACATTTTTTGAACTGTGGTCCTCATCTTTATTACCAGATTCACAACATTTCAGCCATTGTATGCTCTGGCCTTCTTCAGGTGATTGGAATTTTGAACTGAACCTGTTATTTCATCCACCGGTGTAGATTGTTTTAGTTCCACATGCCATGCCTCTTCCAGATCTCAGTTATCTTTCTTTAACTCAACTCTTCTTTTTTTTTATTCACTATTGCAGTAGCC